TAGGTAATTCCTATATGATCTATTTTGCAGTTATTTCATTAAAAAAATCAAATGCCTGATAGTAAATGAGTACTGGACAGGAAAATGCTTTTTTCCATGCTATTTGTGAGACTAAAAACTGATACTCTAGCTGACAATATGGCATATACTGAAATGTAAAAACTGATCCCTGTAATTCTACTCTTGGTGTGTATTTCAGAAATACACATGTACAATGAAGTCCATACAATAATTTCATGCAACAGTTATAAAAATAAGGAAATCTTCAGGTAATTTTGTAGATCAATATAATGGAATATTTTGAAAGTCATAAAAGTAGGATAAAGATATAGAAACGGAACTCAAACCTGAATGGCATTAAAATACTCGTAGCCAGGTAGATAAAATGCCTGTTGTAAACAAATCCAGAAATTCAGATTCAGTAAACCTGAAAGTGTGTTCTTGAATATTCATTTCTAATAACTAAGAAGATTTTAATGATGATAACTCTATTGGTCATTCTTTCAAAAATACATTCTATAATGGAAGCCATATTAACTGGGGAAAGAAATTTCTCAAATAAGATGTTTTCTATAACTTTACCTATATTCCTGAAAAAAAAAATCCATAGATATATGTATGAAGTTAATTTCATGGCAAAAAGTGCAGCAGGATATTTAAATTTGCAATAGCAGTGATGTCTGAGATCTCTGGGAATGTTGTAATGAAAAGGATTTTCATAGTTGACTTAAAAAAACACTATTATATTTTGTCTCAAATTGTGTATGAAGAGTGTATTTGTATGAACTATATAAGGAACATAAAGCACTATAAAAGATAAGACAGCTTTTAATGTTATGGGTTTGCATTTGTTTCATATGTAAAGATTCATTCTGTAAGAGGTTCATCTATCAAGAGGACAAGCTGGTGGTATTTTAAGTACTCTCTGCCTTCAGGCAAGGTATCACTTTTGATTATGCTGCACATGTGTACCAGCACTTCAGACATCTTTGCAGTAAAACGTTTTTGCAGTTTTTACTGTTCATGCTCTAGAAGTGCATTTCCCAGTACCAGGCTTTGTTTTCTGAATAATGTATATGGAGGGTAAATTCTCAGAGATGAATTCTGGTGCAGTTTCTCAAAGCAACTGATAATCACTGTGGCCAAACATGAATTTAGGATTTGCTTCTTTCTTTAGTTTCTCTTTGAATTGAAAAGGTCAGCATGGTGAGTGTGTGGTGAGGGACACCAAAGGTCAGCATGGTGAGTGGACACCTTTAATCTTAGCACAGGGGAGGCAGAGGCTGGCAAACCTCTGTGAAATTGGGGGCAGCCTGGTTTACATAAATTCCAGTTCAGCCAGTGCTAGGAAGTGAAACTCAAAGGAAGGGAGGAAGAGAAGGGGAGGAAAGGAGAGGGGGAGGGGAGGGGGAAGTCAGTATGAACTGAAGTGCCCAGAAAACAAGCCACATCAATGTTAAAAGATTCTACAAGGCTGATAACTTCTTGGTTTTAGAAAGTAAGAATGTTGCAGACCCAAAGCCAAATTATTTCAGGCTTTATTTAGGCCCCCTAATACCTATCCACTGCCACTTCTGTGTTGGACCCAAGCTTCCTGTGTCTATCAGGTAAAATGTTTTGAATGTATTAACAGACCACTAGCTTACACACCAAGTCAAAAGCTAAGCACATCATTGGATGCATCTGAAGCCTACAGCAGAACTAAATTTTTTAAAATACTTTTTTATTTTTATGTTTATGAGTATATTGCCTGCATGTATATGAGTGCACCCACGTCATGCAATACCACTGAGGGCAGAAAAAGGTGTCGGATTCCCCTGGAATTGGAGTTAAGGATGGTTCGTAGCCGCCATGTGGGTGCTGGGAATCAAATCCGGGTCCTCTGCAAGAGCAGCAGCCAGTGTTCTTAACTACTGAGCCATCTCTCCAGCCCCTACCTTTCTTTTGTAACAAAATATATTTCATATATCACAATCATATTTACACCCTCCCCTATCCGCACCTGCACCATAGCCCTCCATAGGATCTCATGCATTCCTACACAGAAATTTCTACATTTCCTGTAGCCTGCCTACTTGGTGGTTTCTACCAATATATTTGAAAAGACAATGCCTTGATTTAAGACTTGTTCTGTAACTATAAAAATTTCCAAAAAACTATTTCTACTTCAGAACATGTTGTTTGAAGCTACTTGAATCCCTGGTTCTGGGCTGTACTGATATCTGGCTCAAGAACAAAATAGTTCTTATTTCTTATAAGGAAAGAGATATTTTTTTTTTTTTGCATTGGTATCAGGCTCTTCCTTAAAATCAGCTGGCCTTTGGGAGCATGAGACCCTTGTCACCAGGCCTGGTTATAAGAGCTCCAAACCTGGGGCTGGAGAGATAGCCCAGCAGTTAAGAACACTGACTGTTCTTGCAGAAGACCTGGGTTCTAATTCCAGCACCCACATGGCAGTTAACAACCGTCTGTAAATCCAGTCCCAGGGGATCCGACAGCCTCTTCTGACTCTGTGGGCATTGCACGACACGGGTGCACTTACCAACATTCAGGCAATACATGCAAACACATTAAAAAAAAAAAGAAAGAAAGAAAGAAAAAGAGCTCCAAACTAATGAATCCAAGTAGAAATTAATGAGTTTAAGGTTGGTAAGCCGTTTTGCAGTAGAGTTTTACTAAGGTATTTATTCTTATAGGATGTTATTACTGCCTGACACTAAATGGTAATTATAACCAAGAAACAGTTATACGTTCTGCATTTTGATAAGGTAATATTAATTCAAAACAAACAACCATAAAATTAGCATGTGATACTGTAATGCAGAAGCCATAATAAATTATCTTACTAAAGCATAAATTTTATTTCTAAATGCAATATAAAAAATAAAGAACATGATTTATTTTATGTTCAACTTAAGTTCTCATTCTCCTAGGCAATATCTTAGAGTCAGTTTATATCTAGAAGAAAACATTCCTTAATCATTTTTTAAAATGCTTGATTTGAATGAGGAAAAAAATCACAATGTTATTAACTGGATGCTCACTTCTTCAAGATCACAGGTGGTCATCTGTCTCCCATCAATTTTCCTTTACAGAAGGTTTTCACTACTTTTCAATGTAGCTCTTCATTTCTACCCACGTTTATGCATTTTGTTATTCAACTAACTTTCAATCAAATTACTCTAATCAATATCTGAATACTTTATCTCCTACCTCCAAAACTGAGCAATCCAAGAAGTCTTCTGACTCATAGGATATTAAAATTGCATGGGAGTGGTGAAAATTACCAAAATTTATTGCATACACATATGCAACTACCAAAAAATAAAAATAAATATTTTTAGTAAGTTTAAAAAATTGCAGCTTGTATCACTATCAGTTCAATTCACCCAAGAAAAATCTTCCTTTTGTGTTTATTTAAGCAGTGTCTATACTACATAAAACAATCATATTTTCTTAACTAAATCCCAAGACACATGATCTGAGCCAAATATATTTCTTTTCCAATTCCAAAGATTTTAAAATATTCATCTTGAAAATACAAAGAATTATACTATAATCAATTGATTTTCCTAACAAGATTTAAATAATATGCAATTAAGATTGTTCTAAAGAAACTACTAATAATATCCTAAACAAAATTCTCAAAAGTAGATCTGGAAATACCTTGACTATAAGCAACCTTCCATTGAGGGATCAGTATCCTTTTCCACCACCTAACAGCTCTAGTCAAGTAGTCTTTTAACATCACACTACTTCTCACATTTATCTATTTGTCAAAAGGCGCATGTAAAGGATACATTTTCTAAGAAATAGAACTCTGAAGAGATGTCACACCCTCACTGTCAAGGCTCCTAGCTGTAAGAGACACAGCTAGAGGCACTGCCAGTGGAAGCAGGGGGCAGGGCATTCTCCACGCTCATGCCCATCTCATGCTTGGCAGCAAACTGACTATACAGTGAGCAAAGGAACAGAAGCTCAGAGTATCTTGACAGAAACAGTCCTTTGCAGTGTTCCCAGAAAATTAAATTAACTGATAAGCAAACCATACTGTTCTATTTAGGCTGAATTCAGGGTGAAGATACAGAGCACATTTTTTTTTAAAGGAAAACAGATTACTTCATAGGCAAATCCCAAATATGGAGTTAGAATCTCCAATACAATGAGTAACAGTGAAAAAGACAACAAAACAAACTAAAACACAGTAAACAACAAGAACAAAAACTACAGCTGAAAAAAAAAGAATTCAAGTATTTTGTTTAATCTTTCTCAAACATCACGGAAAATTAGTAATCCAAGTGTAGAGCACAGGATTAAGTGTTGAATCAATGCTTGTACATGAAACTGTAACTCACTCCAAGAGAGATGTTAAAAGTCAACACAAATGTAGCATTAGGATCAATATTTATTTATTTTCAAGATTTTAAATTGGAACATAAACCACTTGTTGCTATGTCAAAAAATGGTAAAATGTAGACCTTGACACTGAAAAGAAACAAAAGTAAAATATACAGCACTCAAAGGAGAGCAGATTTTTTATAACACTCTACCAAAGATACTGGTTATCTACTTACCTGTATAAAAAATGTCAATTTTACAATACATCTGCATGTCATTAAAATTGTATTAACAGTAAGTCTTCAACCACAAGGTTTTAGTAAAAAGTTTATTGCCGTATCAATTTATCTTACCTACACTGTCCATAACTTACTAACTTGTGCACAAAGTTTAATCATTTATGTATTTCAGATGTCTTAAGAATTACATAACACTGGATAACGGCAACCCTGAAAAATTGATACAAATGGCATAGAAGTTTTACAAATTAAATTATTTTCTTGTAAATGAACAAGGTTTGGCCTAGAACACACTGGGTCGCTAAGGCTTGCCTGAAACTTCTGATCCTCTTGCTCCAGGCTCTCAAGTGATAGGATTACAGGGACTGGCCTGAGTTTTAAAACACAGTTTAGATGACTTAAAGCATACTAAGGAACACATACCTGACACAGATGGTCTTTCTCAGGCAAAGCTGGAGCTCTTTCCTTGTACACAGGAGGTGGTTTATGTGTAGGTGGAAGATCGATCCTGTATTAAAAATGTTAAACAAAAGTAAATGCTGCCACACTGTGATAGGGAACAGGGGAGGGAGAGGGGGAACACCATGGATAACCAAAACAAGGTTTTCATGAGTAGGGGGGTAGTTCTTCACATTACAAAAATACATAATTTCCTTAATTATTTCTTTTATCTATCAAATAGAAAATAAAAGTCAGAACTACTTCTAATGCTAATACAAAACTTGTTTATATTAAAGAAGCAATTCTGATAGAAGCATTGAAAATTATCCAATCATCTTGCACATGATCAATTTACTTAGCTTTGGCATGCTTTCACATTTGATTATTCTGACAAACATTTTAAAGATAGTTAAATAGGTATATGTCTTATTTATTTTTTAAAGATTTCATTTTAATTTATGTATGTATAACTTTTTAATGTCACCTGTCTGCAGGTGCCACAAAGGCCAGAAGACGGCAGAGGTGAGCTACCAAACATGGGTGCTAGGAAGTGAACTTGATCCCCTGGAAGAGTAGTATTCTTAATCACTGAGTGGTCTCTCCAACCCCAAATATGTGTATTATTACATATTCCTCCGTCACAAAAGTGATTTGAAACCCTGCATCTTAAAGTGACTTGAAAAGATCACATTATATTTTGGAAATACTTCCAAAACTGATATTTAAAAGGAAATATATCCTTTGAATACCAGCCTTATGCCTCAATATAAGAACAGAATACAGAGACGTACGACCACTGGCATAGATCTTGACAGTTCACAAGGCAGTTACCTTATTCTATTGCCAACACCATCAAATGAGGTACACGTAAGTAGGAAAGGACTTGCATTTTAGTTATAGATAAGGCAATCAGGATACTGACAGAGTACAGAACAAGGGCCAAAGCCGTTACCTACACTTTGTCCAAATAGGCTGGTCTCTTCTTCCGCGGTGTCAGCAGCACAGTCACAAAGACTGCAATGATGAAGAGGGCCAGGACAGCACCAATCACAGCTCCAGCCACAGCTATTGATGAAGTCTGCTTAAGCGGAACATCTGTAAAACATCAAAAAATTAGGCTATTCAAACAACTTTAAAGAGTTTTCGAAATTGCAGGCTTTAATTTTCAGTATAGTGGCTATTTGATTGAAGTATGTTATTCAACAATTAGCTAAGTGGATTCCAAATTCAATTCATTAATTTTAGTAGCATTATGTTAATAGCCTTCCATTTTTTGCTTTATTCAAATTATGAATAAGAATATCCACAATCAGGCACCCTCAAGTCAATCAATATATTTTCTATAGTCAAAGTCTAGAGAAGATAAAAAGATGAAAATAATTTTAAGTTTTCATTCTAAAGGGTGATAACCAATATAGACACTTACCATTTTTATTATATTAAAACAAAAAAGAAACTATTAAAATTAAGAATGAAAAAACCTTCAGGGCTAAACAAGACAAAAGCATACAATAGCTCAAGTACAATACAAAAATGACACTGAATATTGTCAAACTTTAAAAAAAATTTTAAAGTAGAATATTTCAAAACAGTAGACACCTTAACAGAAATTCTTTCCTACATACTTAAAGGCTATATTTACATGTATATACATATTCATAAAACTGCATACTAATTTATTTCCTAGATTACACCCACACACTTTGTTGAGAAAGGATTCAATATAGCAGTTAGCATCTCACACAAATTTTTAGTTACTATCATTCATAACTTCATAAAAAATGCCATCACTGAATTAAACAATTCACTGTTTTCAAATAAATTACCAATCATTCTATGTATTACTTTAAGCACTCTCGCCAAATGAAATACAGAAGCTCAAATTTGTGGATTAGTAAGGTACCCCCCTCTCTGTGTGTGTGAGAGAGAGAGTGAGAGAGAGAGAGAGAGAGGAGCCGAGAGAGAGAGAGAGAGAGAGAGAGAGAGAGAGAGAGAGAGAATCATGCATCCCAGGCTAACCTGAGACTTGCTGTGTAGCCAAAGATAACCATGAACTTGTCCTACTGCTTCTACTTCCTAACTCCTGGGATTATAGTGTATGATGCCACCATGCCCATATGGTATTGATGAATGCACCCAGGATGTTGTCCATGCTAAGGCAAGCACTCTACCAACTGAGCTACATGATTTTATTTTACTCTTCTAACAATTAAGACAATGAAAGTGGTAGTTTATAAATGAAGACAGTTTTAAAGTAATCTCCCCATAGACATTCAGATAAAGAGCAGCAGAAAACAAAACTTAGCGGAGACAAGGTAAGGCTCTATCGCATACCCATTTTGGATTTTGGAGTGCAGGTGGGGGGCAATAGTAAATGCAGACTTGCATTTTTGTTCACCTACGAGAATGTTTACATTAAGTTGGTTTATTCACATCTCTCTTAAATACTTGTAATTATTATTCAGAGCAGACAAAGCAAAATGCCCTAGCAGATATGAAATGTTTTACCTACTGTCCCAGTATCTTTGTATTTTATTTTTTATTTTTTTGTCTTTTTGAGACAGGGTCTCCCTGTAGCCCCAGCTGTCCTGGAACTCACTATGTAGACCAGGCTGGCCTTGAACTCAGAGATCTGCTTGCCTCTGCCTCCCAAGTGCTGGGATTAAAGTCGTGTGCCACCATGCCTGGCTTATCTTTAAGTGTAAATCATATGGGGTTTCACATGGTTAAACTTTCTTCCCCAAACTAAGCTTCTTTAATGAACAACAATATAGAGTTGATTAGTGGATCATTTCAATAGCTTCATTCTAGACTGAAACTCTTACACCCTACACCCTTTAGTGCAAACCACCCATTTTAATAACTGTCAATGAATACAATCTAGCAATACTGGGAAGTACCATACAATTATTATCAGACTATATAACTTTCACTTCTAATACAAACTGAGATTATCAATTGCTGTTCATCACTCATTATCTCTGGCATCTCAATCTGAATGTGGTAAATTGAATACCTTGTCAGTGCAGTCAAATGTTCTCAGCACGTGTGAAAAGGGGGTGTGGAATCATTTATTCTACATAAATTACATTTTCAGAGACTGGGCCTAACAATTAAAAGTAGATGAATCTACTCCGTATTTAATAATAGGCCAACTGAAATCTACTTTTAAGGGGGTTGACCAAGCAACCACCTAGGTAGTGGCACAAATAAGAACTCCACTTGCCAAATTTGCTACTTATTACACATTCTTTTAAATGTCTCCCTTTAACAGAAATTTTCTTCTGATAAGGGTAAAGTGGCCCTATCATTTTTGTTCAAGTGTACAGAATTTGGGTGTTCTTAATTACAATGAAATAGGATTTTACAGTTGTACTTTCAAAAGTGATTTTCAAAAGCTCAGATTACTCTTCGAATATAGTAAGTAAAAATTAAGATTTTTTTAAACCTACAGATTATAAAAACAACATCTACTTTTCACAGGAAAAGTGATGATAAATACATGTATAGGCTGCATTTCCTATTTCCTTTCTCTTCTAATGAAAAAGGATGTAACATATTAAAGAATATTCCTGTTTTAAGTGTTTTAGTGTGAGATTCAAAGAATACTTTGCATTCAAATCAAAGTATTTTGAAAACTGAGAATTTGTTCCAACACTGCCTCTCCCACATCTCACATAAATACATACACACTACATAGACTGTTACAACCACATTACAAGGGAAAAGGTTCAGTGTGCAAATGTACATAAACTTGGCATTTTTAAATGTTAAGCTTGTTTACAGGGTAACTGACTTGAAGTAACATTACCTAGGGAGATGTTCTGAAAAATCTAGTAATGTTTTAAGTATCAGGAAACATGTGTTACCATATTTATCACCAACAGGTTGGTATGCACATTTTTAAAAACTACAGCTTGCGGTTATCACAGAAGCTACAAAATCTCATATACACTGGAAACTCAACTCTAAGAACAGAGAAATAGCAATCTCCCATATAGCAAAAATATACCACCTAACATTAAAGGTATCATGTGCACATCTCCTAAGACGTGTTCAAGTGTTTAAAAACAAACCAGTATAACTTAATGCATAGCCAACTTTACTTTTTGGGTAAACATGCATATATTAAATATTATGGATATTAAAATGAATTAAGGTTTCATTTTTATTATCAATGATACAAATGAATTAGGAAAGTGAGAGCTAATCAGATGAATATCTCATTCATTTCTGAAAGATATGATTCAAATTTTATACTGATGATGTACAAACTTATTTTCCCATCTTTTGTTTACTTCTGTACTATACATAATTGTTATCAAAATTTTCCCCACAAATAACCTTTATTTTTTTCAATATTGAGGATCTAACCCAGGGACTTGAAAATGCCAAGCACATGTTCTACTACTGAGTTTTACTGTCATCCCTCCATTCCTCATTTTTATTAGGCCCTTGATCTTAATATGGTTACAAAGTCTGTATCTATACAAAATTTTATCCAACTCATCTTTCATTTTTTAAGTTCCATATTTAGCTCAGGTCTGTCTCTCATCCAAGCACCTAACATGTACCAGGCATTGTGATACCGCTAGGACCACAACGAGGAATCATACATCATACATCAGACTAGTCCTTCCAAGACAAACAGCCCAAAATGAGGTTACAGTAGTCATAAAACATGAATGATCCAATCATGCACAAAAACAGCACCCATTAAAAACACATTTAATAGAGGGGAATACAGTTCAATGGCAGAGTGCTTGCCTAGCACATATGAGGCCTTAAGCTCAGTTCTCAGCCAACCTCCCCTTCTTCCCTCCCTCAAAAAAGTATTTAATAAAAACAAACAGTAAACAGCATATAATGCATGAATTGTCTCCCCTTATGCACACGGGGCTCCACAGTATCACATGGGGAGGAGTGGAAAGTTACAGAACATGACTTGAGGTACCCTTCAACCCCTTCACATAGATGTTACATCTCAGGACAATCAACATGTGCGACTTCTGGGAGCTCAAGTGGTGGGGTCAGTATTCATTTTCAACACTAAAAACTATAAAGGATGTCCCATGTGACAGGTGAGCACCTGACCAAGTGGGGTTAGCAGAACTCATCTGTGACATATATTTAGGTAAGCATTTATTCCTAGTAAATGCTATTCCTGCAAAAGGATGAGAATGATATAATAATGCAGATATAACAAACAAGCATCTGACTCCTTATATACAAACTTTCATCAATTAGTCTCATTATGAACTAAAACCATGACAACCTCGTGAGTTCTGAGAAATCAGCCAAAAATAATTCTACTGTATCAGGAGACCAACTAGAAGAGATTACATTTACTCAATACCAATTAAACTCATAGTAAACCTATGAGTTGGAAACAGCAAATGTACAAGTGAGTTTGTGACTGGCAAGACACTGAAAAATAAACCTCTTGTGTATAAAGGTAAGCTCTCAAACTAGTAGCTGGGATGAAATCATTTAAGTTCTTAACAATGTACTCTTTCCATATGAATGTAGTTGCTGTGGAGAAAGACGACACTAACCACATTATCAACAGATACTAACCATGAAATAAGGCCTTTAGAATTACTGAATCAAAAAACATCTCTAAAAACCAAGGCTTTCCAAATAAAGCAGTTAATCTTTTTTAAAAATTCCATTTTAGTGAAAAATTAGGTTAATTTTAAAGTGAGACAATATCATGTTCCCCAAATAATTAGTGACAAAGACACTGACATTTTAAAATATTATTTTATCAGAGTTAAAATTTCCATTTTTGCCTATTTTAAAATACATACATACAACAAACTTGGAATACATACTAAATTTTAGCTGATGATACAATCAAATTTCTGATCTACAAAAGACAGGTAAAAACAAGAATAAAATGTAAACTTATGATAGATACAAGTTGATAGAAAAGATTATGAGTGTATTTGTTAATTCTAAAGTACAAAGTTTCATAAACCTGTCATTAGGGTTAGACTTTGCATATGGACTGGTCTCCCAATGTGGAAAAGGGGGGAAAGGAAGTTTTAGACAAAGGAGAAACATGGACAGAATTATTCAGGTATCAAAGCACA